GCCTGTAATGTCTCTAGCAGCATCTGAAACCTCACAGACTTCACAAGCAAATCCGCAGTTACAGAGTTTAACATCTCATGAAGCCCTCCCAGATATATGCAGCCTTGTATTTACATGGTTCAGGACAGATGATGGTGTAAATTGACATGTTGACTACTATTGACTAGTGACTAAAAACAGATATGAAGATAACCAATGTCACCTTGTTGCTTGCAAAAGGTTAATCCAGTTACTTAATACTGGAATCTGACAGACAGCCTGAAAGACAGTGGAAATCCTTGGCCTTTTCTGCATGAGGAGACCTAGCTGGCAAACAATCTGTTGGCACAGCGCAGCTAGCAACTTCTTTTGGCAGAATGCATCCACATTTGGCTGCTTCTGTTGGCAACATATTTCTTCATGGCTTCAGATTGTATTGGCAAAATATACATAGCATGTAAGAGGATTTTGGTAACTGTGCCTGTAATGCAGTACAGTAGTCATCTTGAATCCAAATGCACTAGCTATTCATTCTGCACTTGTTAGGGTGTCGTTATTACTGAATCTGGGGGCACGTGAAAGCAGCTGATTCTCCAGCAGGAAAAATATTGGGTAGAGCAGCAACTTTAAAGCTCATTCAGGACTATCCTTATTGCTATGTGGATATGCTGTGTGTCTGGCTAATTCAGTTGTCTGTACAGATAAGATGGTTCCTTGTCCTTAGGACAGCTGTGTCATCGCTTGCTGTAAAGGGTGACCGGTTTTGTGGGCAGTCTGAGGTGTCTGTGTGTAGAGCCAACTATATTAACATGCTGTTACTTGGCATGCAACTGAGTGAGGCTGCTTTTGAATATTGAATGATGAGCGAGTATCCTTTAGGAACAGAGGGAGCTGTGCGTTAAAGCCACAGAAACTGCTTCCTCGGCAAGGCTGTATTTTGTATTCTCCAACCCTTTTCCCATTCCATCATAAAATTATTTAGGTTGGAAGGGACCTCTGGGAGGTCACATAGTCTTATCCCTTGCACAAAGCAGTTTCAACAGGATCAGGTTTCTCAGGGTCTGAGTCCTTGAAGGACGTAGATTCTATAGCCTCCCTGGACAACTGTTCTTTTTACTTCTTTCTTATATCTCCTTGGAATTTCTCCTGTTCAGCTTGTGTCTATTGCCTCCTGTTTTTGTGCATATCTGAGAAGAGTCTGGCCCCATCTTCCTTGTATTCTCCAATGAGGTAGTTGTAGACAGCTATCAGCTCTCCTTGAAGTCTTTTAAAGAATGGTCAAATGCAGTTCTTCCATCCTCTCTATGTACATCATGTGCTTCAGGTCCCAGTCAATTTGGTAGCCTTGTGCTGGACTCACTCCAGCACATCAATGTCTCTTGTGCTGGGGAGTCCCAAACTGAACTTGGTACTCAAAACCATTTATAAAATAGCAAAACTGTACTGGTAAGTGGAGTGATTCTGCCTGTTGTTGGATAGGCAAGACTTTGTTCTGTAAGCAGAGCCAGGACGCCCAGAATGAATGAACACCAAATACCAAATGCCATATGTACCAGTTATTTGAGGGACCATAAAAGAGAGCACTGTGTTGGAATGCACTAACCAGACAGTGATTGGTTTTGTTGCCACACATGCAGAAATTATTTTAGAAATTATTTTTTGGGAACTTCCACCTAAAAGAGAATAACATAAGGCTGGATTTTCAGAAAATAGAATTTATCAAGCTTAACTTACAGTATAGGCAGAGCAAAGTGCTGGCCCAGACATTTATAACTGCTTCTGAGTAGGAAGATTCATAGCAAGTCTTCTCCTCCACTGGTATTCAATACTGCTATAAAATGCAACAAGGAAGAGGATGTAGGTCTTTGACTGAAGGGAGTTATTTTTCATGCTATGTGTCCAGTCTGGGTTGTGAGTGTTTTGATTTTCTGATCATGAATGCAGCTTAGTATTATTTTTTTCTTTGAAAGTTGCAGTATATATTAATGCAGTTTTCAGTTTTTGTTATGAGGCTTTGCAATGGGAGGGAGTTTATGTTCCCAGGTTAGAAAATTGAGCTGTTCTGATTTATTTCTTTCCCAGTATTCTACATGTAGAATATGCTACACGGGAAGGTGTACTCTACAGGTTCATGTCAGTCCACACAGTAGGATCTCATAACTTAGAAATCCTATCATATCTTTGAATTTTTGTGATTCCACTGTCCCTTTAGAGCTCATCATAGAGGAACACTAGTTGCCCAGTAGTCTGGAAATGGTGGAAACTGTAACAGCTATAACAAAAGGTCTCTGAGAGGAGTGAGTGTATGCCACAGACTTACTGGGTGGGATTCATCTTACTAAATACAGACAATTCCTCATCTGGACTGCATTTATTGTGTATAAAGGGAAACAGCCATTTCTAGGGCTTGTTTTTTTTTTTTTTTTAATTTTGCAGCACAATTTTTCTCATCCCAATGTCACTGTGTAAAATAAAACAGATGAATCACTCATTAAATGACTGTTTTCTCCATTGATTTTAAAGGAGGCCTAAGATGACTCTTTCAGCTCTTAACAGCCCCTGCCATAGCTGACTAAAGTTAGTTATAATATGTTGCCTTTTATTGTAATGGCAGCAGGCCAAGAGAGAACTTATGTTGCTTGGGGGAAATGTTTTAACTTTCCTAGGTTTTTGCCCCTGGTATTTTGGGGGGACTGGAAGTGGAACAGGAATGCACTCAGACTTGTGCTGGCTGAGTTACTTTTCCTGGTTATGAGTTTTTTATTGCTCCAGAATAAAGTGTTGAATTCATCTGTGCCTAAGGTTTTCAGCCTTTCAACCTCTCTTCCTGGGTTGGTTTTTTTGAGCTTATTAAGTGAAGTGGACTTCACACCGTAAGATGAGCAGTGGGTATTTTTTGAGAAGATGATACTGGCTGATCACCTCTGTTTCCAGGATATGAACAGCCACACTGTGCCTAGTTAGTTTCTGAAGCATTGGATTTCACTTCTTGAAGGCATCTTTTGTGTTTTCTACTATTTTTTTAGAAAACTGCTGATAGCTCTTCACTTCTGAGATTTTGGAAACAGTGGGGTGGTTGAGTGAAAGTAGGCTTCTGAGAATGGAGGATGGTAGTAGAGACACAGAAGTTCCCTGCAGGAAGAAGATGCAGTGACGACAGTTGCAGTAATGTGCATTATGCCAAATCTCAGACTGTTATGTGTATTTATAAAGTCTTGGCTCCTGGACTGAGATATTAGATCCCATGTTTAAGGTGGAAGGTCTCAAGCACTTGTAATTACAGAAAGTGCAAACCTGAAAGATCAAACTAGAAGGCAACCAAGTCAGAAATATATTTTGAAGAGCTCTCAACTTCTCTAGCAGTCTTGGGATTTTGGTGTAAATTCGTTATTTTGGAATGTTAATCCTAACAGTCTCACTATTTTATGTCCTGCTTCCTTTTCTCTCCGCCGTCATTAAGGACTTCAAATGACAAAATCACTTAAAAGCACATGGTATTTATCATGAAATTATGTAACTTGGTCATCTGGTGTTAGGCTACTTCAGCAGTTTTGGAGAGGGAGTTGAACATAGCCAATTCATTCATGGCTGAGCCTTATTACAGCTGATTTTTAGAGGCTTTTAATCTGTTCCAGTTCCAAGCATAAGTCAGGGGGAGCTAAGACTATGGCAACAGGAGCAAGTTTGAAACCTTAATGACCAAATAAGGCCTTTTCTTCCTTGACAGCCTGCTGAGTTACTTTGGCAATACAGGGGAGTCTCTGCAAGCAGATTGTATGATAGACTTTCAAGGACTTTGCTATGTATATTTTGAAAACAGTATCTGAGCATGAGCTCTTAAATTTGAGGTCCCTTGTATGGAAAGTTTAGATCTAGTTTCTAGACCTGAACATTAGAATGGTATGTTTAGACATTAAATATCACGTTTTCACTATGTAGGACTTGCCTGAGAATTTATCATACTCCTGAGAACCAAGTAACAAGCACAAAGTCTCACTAGTACTTAGAATACTTGATTTGCTACGTGCTTATTTGAATTCCTCTATTCTACCTGATAAGTGACTTGGATGTACTTCCACTTGCTCTTCTCAAGCGCGTCCGTCAACAGAATAGCATTGGATAGAGACATAAAAGCATATTTTCAACTTATTTCTGTGAAGAAGGGACTAATTTGAAGGACATTTCATGACAGTGCTGAGGAAAGAGTGACTTTTTCAAATCTTAAAGCTTGGAAAATTTGGATTTGCATGTGCTAAATTTAGCTGACCTACTGCTAAATCAAAACATTATATAACACAACTTCCTTATCTTTTGTTGTCTGTTCTGTTTTACTTGCTTTTCCTCCTGAGTTCAGTTTGTGAAGTGAAACAGTTCTTTTAAATCAGTCTATTTGAAAATGTTTTCAGTTTTACTTTTCCATGGTTCCTCTTTCAAATATGGGGTGTAAGTATTCTAGCCATAGAGTCTGATGACAACATCAGTGGTTGCCACTTTTTGAGTCAGTTGAAAGACTTGACCAAAAAAAATTAAGAAACAGAAGAGCCTCAAAAGTTACAGTTTTTAATTGACTGTGTATTCGCGAGTTTGTGGTCTTTGTTTTATGTTTCAGTCCCCAAATTGAGCTGGGTAACTAAGCACTGTATATTGAAGTTAACTGTATCAGAAAATTGTCATGGAAATAAGAAATTCAGAGGGCTGTATAACAGCAGCAGTATAACAAAGACCTATATATATGGACATAGTGGTCAGCTATTGCTTAATGCCACCACTTTCTGATGCTGAAGGTCTGATATCTTCCAAGCGACTTATGCAGTCAGCAGTGTAGATATGTGAGGGGAGCTGTAATGGGCAGTAGACAGAAAAGATTAAAAGTGGAACTTTTAGAGAAATAACTCTTCTATGTACTGCTTTGCTTTCTTAACCCGTAAAGTGAGTTGCTAAGATGGTATATATCCATCATTGGTATTATCACCACCTTTGCTTCAGCTAACTTTTGAATTGCTGTTATTGTTGTTTTTCAGACTGAGGAAATGGGATATTGAATTTAGGAAGTGAAGCTGACAAGTTGACAGGAAGTTGACAGTGCTGATAAAAGAAGGTAAGGTATGTTGGGCTGTTCTAATCATGAGTGCTGGTTCTGAAATACGTAGAGACTGAAGATTAGAAAGGATCTGTTTCTGTACTCATTCACTGCACTCATGCCAGGCAGTTTGTATTAGTAGGTGGATGTCATTTTTAGCAGGAAATTAAGGAAGCCACCTGGCTTCTCTGTGTCCCAGTTTTTTCATGACATTACCTTTCTTTAATTCTGTCAACCGCAATAAAGTACCGTATCTTACTACAAAGCTATTTACGTAACAATCACATTACGACTCCATCTCACATAGAAATACTTAAATTAGCCTTAAGTTAGTTAACATCAGTCAAATACTGCTGTCAGTATAGACCTAGCAGCAAAGAATTCAGCACAGGTTAGCTTTCAGAATTTGCTTTTCAGGCAGACTTTGCAGGTCCGTGACAAGTTCTGTGGCTTCAGTGCTACCTGGCTTGCAGTCAATATATATACCTTCATATAACTGATAAAGTCATGCCTTGCTGGAAATGTAGGCATGCCCTATTAAACTATGTAGCACCAAGCAGAATGGGCTTCTCTTTTTGTTAGTCTTCTTCTATAACTTTGAGATACTTAATATAGCTGACATATTATGTGATTATTTGTGCCTGCAATTTTATGGAATGAAGTCCAAGTTCCAATGGCATAAAACTAAATGGAGACTGAAATTAAGTTTTGAATGTATTAACAAAGCAATTCCACTAACATTAGTGATCAGTAGAAACAGTAGGTTGGGATGAAGTGTTGAGTTACATGTATAGAACTGGTGACTGCTGCAAAATTAACAAGCTGTTAACTATAAGACTGTGGCATTCATTAAATTTCTTGCCACTAGCAATGTACTTTCTAAAGAGATCTGGCTATAATATTTGTTGCCTTGGAATAGTTAAAATATTTGTGTTCAGGAAGGAAGCACTAAGTGGGGACAGTATTGAAAAACTATTAAGCAAAAGCTTAATAGCTGCTGAAGGCACAGAACTAGTAGTCTAAATTAACTGCTACGATGACTGTATGAAATCGGAAATTCTCTTGCCAACTTCTACACTTGATCCGGTTTTCTGAACTGAGTGCTGTGAGATAACAGGAATATTTGAGAATCCCCCCAAACGCTGTTGAGGCTTTCACATTGAATGCTTACATATACAGTGAACTAGAAGAATATGATGAAGCATAAGATACAAAAGCTATTGGGTGCCATGAGTTTATGAGACAGAACATTTTTAAGTTGCTGTTGCATAGGAAACTAGTTGCAGCTTAACAGTATTAGAACTGTTTTTCTTAGACATGGTAATAATGCACTCATTTTCATGGCCTTACTTGGATCCATGAATTATTTGAATCCTACAGTTAATGAGATTAGTCAAAGCAACAATTGCTTAGAAAATATTTTCTAAAAGAAATTTAAGAGAAAAGACCCTGGATCTATGCTCTAATTGTAAAGGCTTAGGATGATATACTTGACATATATTTTTAGCCATTTAGAGGATAAATGTTAGTACTTCCTTTATAGCAAATAGTGTAAAGCAGGTGGTCTGATTTGCCCTCCAGAGGTTTCATTCCTCTTAAATGCCTATTTAAGGTAGGAGGAATTACTGTAAGTCTCAGAACTACTCATTTACAAAGTGGCTATACAGCTGGTGAGAATGGACACCTCACTTCCACCTGGCTAGACAGATTCATTATGACAGATTTATCCCACACATAGTAGTTAAATTAGTATCTTTTTTACAGTAAGAAATCCTAAGTAGTAGCCACTGTAGGAATTTCAGTGTCTTCTGCAAAAAAACAGGAGAAATCCTAGTTCTTAGGGACAGATTTCACAATTCGTTCAAATACAGGTGTTTTGGTTATATCTACAGGAAATAAACAGTGGGAAATGCAAGCCTTTACATTATGTATAATGTGTGGAATATAGATGAGAAGGGTCCAATTTCCCATTCCCTGTTTCATCCAATTTAAACTGTTCTGTATTCTGTCAGTAAAACCAGTTCCCTAGGGACTTTTTTCAAAGGGAATGAGCCAGTTATTGGAGAAATTTATACCTTGACTTCTACCCACTTCTGATCCAAATTTAGTAACATATTACCATTTGTTGGCTTGCCACAACTTAGAGGCTTCTGTATGGATGGGAGGAATGATGATGACTATCTGGTCTATTAGTTTCAGTGAGCAACACAAAGCCAAACATATGGAAGTTAAGTTTTAGTCTCTCTGAATGCAGTAGCAAAACTGCCATAGATTTTAGTGGTAGTAAGATTTAACCTCTGGTATGTTTACGGTCACTCTGAACTGTTTTTTCTGCACTTCTGTCCTGCTGTGTTATGTTTGGGTTTGTTTGGGGTTTTTTTTTTGAAGAACAAGAGAAAGTGGCTACCCCTTTCTTTAAGCCAGTAAATCTGAACAGAATTTTGTTGTGACTAGAGTTAAAGCACTGCTTGAGATTGCTGCTGTAATATGTAATAATATGGTCTAACAACCAGCCTATGGTTATTTACTGTACCATGTTTCACACATGTAACAGGAGTCTAGAGACAACAGGCAGTTGTTCTGATAGGTGATTTGACAACAACTTATTAAAACTGTCATTCTGGCCTTTCCAGACCACAGAACTAATTGTGCAGATACTGTTTGCCTTGCCATTAATTCACTAAAACTGTGAACACTGTTGGAAACTGCTGAAGATTGGAGGACCATTGTCAACTTTAATCACGCTTCTGTCACAGTATTTTATTTGCCACTGTAACTGACTGGTGCTGTCTTTACTGGGAGAGTTAAAAGAGCTGTAAATCCCACTCCTTGCCATTAGCACTGACCACTGTGGTGTGCACTCCTCTTTGCATGATGGGACACTGTCAGATGGCTGTATGAAGCGTATCAGTATGTGAATGTATCCAGTGCTGGCTATGACTGAAAACTAAAATGACTGATTGAGACTTCGGGGTTGGAGTGTGCAGGGAAAGGTGAGGGGAGAAAGGAAAATAAACCCTAGTTGTTAAGTTGGTAGGCATTTAATGGTGCTTTCATTATAAACAAGAAAAGGTGAAGAATTAATTATACAGAATGAAACCTCATTTTAGAAGCTGCACTCTGCAGGCAGAGCTCTGTTGACTTAACCAGATGACATTCCTGCAGAAAGCCTCCTTTGCTAGTTGAGTAAGTCTAATAGCCTCTCAGGCTAAAACAAACTTTTAAGGATTTGTAACAACAACTTGCTATGGTATTACAGAGACAACAACATGCTCATAAACTGAAACTAGTCACATGACAGTGCCCATTTGTACTTTGTACTTGTACTCTGTGAGGAGCCAGAAGAGGCAAATTTTGGGATGACAGAAAAAGGGGCAGTTGGAGGGGTGTACAAGAGGCAGAATGTTAAGTAGCTTACAAATGCATTGTATCTCATCATTTATAACCAAAAGAAAATGAGTGAGGGGGAATGATGAAAGAATGCTAGTGTCTGATGGAACGTAAGAGTGATTCCTTTCTCTTGCCTATCCTCAGTTGCTGATGGAGGGGGGGGAGGCTGTCTCTGGAGAGTCATTGTAAGGTTCTCACTGCTTTTATCTTCCTAACGTGGATGGCAAAATAGCCAGTGTTTTCAGAAATGCTGCTTTCTCAGGTGTTCATGTTCCCCTCACCAGATGTTTTTATCCTCCAAAACAGGATGGCAGAATGTGTGTCAGCATGCCAGTCATCCTAGTCAAAATCTAGTGCACAAGGTGGATTGTTTATTTACCAGATGGTGAGGTGGGGCAACTAAAGCGTACTTGGCCACAATGTTGTATGCAGCTGAGCATTGCCGTTTTGGTCTCATTGATCTTGTAGCTGCCTAAGCCTATGTAGTGTTTGCTACTCAGCCACATTCTACAGCTAGTAGCCATAACAGAATATTACTGGATGTTGGTTTGGAACATTTGGGAAATAAATCATGCTGATTAGTGAATTCTTATGATCTCTGCCTTTTCTTACTAAAGCAGAACATCTGTTTTACTCCGAAATTGAAAGCTAAAAGAAAGCACTGGATGCTTTCTTTTTCTATTTAACAGAAAACTCAAGCCACCTTTTTCTTAATAATTACACTTTTTTCCTGTGCTTTGCAATTGCTTATGGCAAATATCCATGGCTACTTGTTAACCTGCTGCAAAAACTATTAAAAGCCTTACTGAGGCTAGGAAATTTACTATTAATACTAAAGCAGTCTAGTTTGCAGCTCTGCCAACACAATGAACATCCTGATCTGCCCTGGCTTTTGACATTCAGGGAAATGATTAACTTGTCAACTTGTATGGTTTTCCTCATGAATGAATTCTGCAAAAGATACATTTGTAAGTACAGCTTCTATGCGTAGACAGGGCAAATATGCAAACGTTCAAAAGCACCAATATGTTCTCCAAAATATTTACAGGTCGGGTAAATAAAGCTATGAAAAACATAGATTTCATCAGAACTATGTGTGAAGGGAGCCCTTGAAGTTACTGAGAGCTGTGTGCTTGGATCTGGCACAGTACATAGCACTGTTAGGAAATAATTGGGCAATAAGACACAGGGAGCATGTGAACACAGTAATTAATATGCTCAGCAGTGCTTATATGATGACTGACCTCTTGCCAGAGCTAACAGCAAGCGATGTGCTGGTCAGCTAAGGAACAGAAGTTATAGAGCAGGGAGCAGGAATAGCTCTTCTCTCTGGATTTTCAAAGGCGAAAAGGTGTTTGTACAGTGGGAGGATTAGAGGGCTACTCAGCTTCTCTTCCCCAGAGGGTGAAGTGTGCATTGTGGTGTCTCCACCATCCTTTCCTCTTCCTTTCTCATCTACCCAGTGGACACACTAACTTTCCTGGGGAACATGGAGGAATTGCAGTTCTCAGTAGCTAAAGTAATGTAAAGCCTGGCTTATTGCAAGTCAAGTTCTAATGGACAACATTTTTCTTTAAAGCATTCTGTTGCTTGGCTGTATGCACTGCTATTACACCTTAACTATATAA